CTTCAGGTAAGTTTTTGCACAGATTTTTTATTACCAATGTCATGAAATGGCTCGGGATGTCTTTTTTAGTTTCTTGCGTATATGCATTTTTTTCTTAATAGTTATGAGCTTATGGTCTCTCAGACAGTGGTAAATTTTTGTTTTTCCTGTTTCTTTTGTACTTGACAAGAGACCAATTTTTATCCTTGTCAAAGATGGCCTACTGTACGACAGGTATCATATTTACACCTAAAAATTTTCATCTAGTGTATGTTTAAAAGTAAAAGAAGAAAATAATAAAAAAAAAATTAGGGTCAACAATAACAAAAAATGGGAAAACGCGACGCATATAAATATATTTACCTATGTTGTGGCTCTGTTTATAAAAGAATACCTGAAAAAAAAGTTAGGTTCCTATTCTAGAAAATAGACCAACTTTGATAGTTTCTGATCTGATATCAGATGAAAAGAAACTAAAAAAAAAGGATTCCTACGAAAAACAATATCGGTCAAATGTTTACTTCGAAATTAGTATTATCAAACATAGTACGCCAATGAAGATGAATTTACATTTAATTTGATACACACAAAATCGCGGATAAAGTATACTGATTTTAACGAAAAGTAATTGCAATTTCTCTATATTTTATTCATATAATGCATATTTTTTGTGAACGTAATAGATGAATAAATCATTTCTGTTTTGTGAAAAAAGTAAATTAAATAGTTATCAAATGCGTGACATAGCAATAATTTTGGCTGTTCTCTCAAACACAAATGATTACAAACAATCAAAATATTACACCCTTTAAAAATCCATGCCATGTATTTAAATAGATTTTATTTTAATGCATGCATTTTAGTACAAACAATAAAAAACTACATACATTGTAATAAAGGTTGCCACATAGAATTTTGAATCATTACCGTTACATAATACATGTAATTGAAAGAAAAACTTGTTAAAAATCGCACGTGGATATATGATGCGCACGCATACAAATTCAGAAGTTTCATCTCGAATAATAGGCACAATTTTATTTTGTTTATAGTAATTCTATTTAAAAAAATTGACGGACATGAGCCACATTGATAATGAAACTAGTTATTGGGCGATGTTGAGCTTTGCATTTTACAAGTGCTATATTCACGAATTACCCTCAAACCTCTTATGTATGGCGGGCTATTAGTTAAAATTTTCAAAATTTACTATAGCGAGGAGGATTTATAACGTTTTGATTATATAATATATTAATATTAGACGATTTTCATTCAATATGTTCTGTTACGATCGTCGAGAAGCCGACAATCTGTTAAGAAAGAATATTTAATAGAACAAGATGTTTATTATAAGCATTATAAAATTTGATAGAAAAGAAAAAGAACAGGAAAGAAGATTTGAAAGAAGGAAAGATAATAATTTGAAAATTTAACTAATTCAATAAACTAGTTCAGAATCTCATAATAGAAAGAAATCATTAACATATGCTTATAATCGAAATATAAAGACACTCGATATATGTGATTGAAAAATCAACCCAACGCTTCTAAGTCTTCATATCTTCTTTCCCACTTTTCAAAATTCACTAAATCCATAGGACCCCACACTTCTATACCACGTTCATACATGCGTTCCATCATGTCCGAAAAACATATAAGCAACTTCTTATCCCATTCGTTGTCAAGACTATTCCAGTGAGCGTCTGCGTATCTGTCAAGTTCCATTCTTGATTTAAATACAGCATCTTTGAATCGGAACGCACCATCGCCCTTGTATTTGATCCTGTCCATGAATTTTTTGAACTCCCCTTCTGGTTTGAATTCTAAGCCAATGGCTATTAAGATCTGATCCAAAAAATGTTGACAATTATTCCGGAGAAAGTGATAATTATGAGTCTTATTGTAATAAACACATCTTTCAGCAATAATTTTTAATTTGTCCTCCTTTATGTTTCCTAAATGGTAGAAAAACCTATATATAAGACCTAAAAGCTCTAATACAAAGGTAATTATACACCCGATTCCCAAATTATTGATAATGTTACTTATATTTTTATTACAAGCACTCATAATGACGCTGTCGCGATTCATTCTTTTGTAGTTTAATCGTATATAGGCCAGCATTCTTCTTTCATCAACTCTTGGATACACGATGCTTTGGCCTGCAGGACCACAGCCCCATTCTATGATGACACCATCTATTTCCAGTCCTACATGAAATATTCCATATTTCATAACTGGAGCAAGGCTTTGGAGAATTTCGCTAAAATCCGTTTTTTCGATTAATAGATAAACATTATATTTTTTGTTTTCTCTCCTGTATTCTCGCGCGTTTCTCAACGACATTTCCTTCGAGTCTTCGGGCATATCACGAAAGTCACTTAATGCACGGACATCCGCGTTTATCCTTCTCAATAATTTTTCAGATTCTTCTATTTTAGGCTTAAGAAATTTTTCGAAGAATAGATCTGCATCTCCAAGTTGGTAGATAAGTTCATGAAGCCCTTCTTGATTTTTGATCTCCAACTCTGTGAGTAAAGAGATGTATTTTTCGTTTTCAAACGTTTCTAGTTCAATGAGCTTGTTTTTTATGAAGGCATACCAAGCTTTTTCATCGCACTGATAACCGTTTGAACAGAAGGAATTTTTTTCAGATGTTAAGAAAGAGGGAGGGGAAGAGCTAGAAGGGGAAGATCTAGAAGAGGAAGAGCTAGAAGGGGAAGATCTAGAAGGGGAAGAGCTAGAAGGGGAAGATCTAGAAGAGGAAGAGCTAGAAGGGGAAGATCTAGAAGGGGAAGAGCTGGAAGAGGATTGAGAACTGCCCATTTTAATGGAGAATAACGATATATTCTATTATCAACTATTTATTGTAAAGTGCGTGGGAATAAACACAAATGTTAATTATTCTAAATCATTCATGGAAATTTCTGAGAATGCCTTCATCAAGCTTGGTAAATAGGAAAAAGGTGTATAAATGTTATTCTCTAGTGGAGCTTTAGCGATCGTTATTAAACGTTAATATTGTTTTATTTGTTTAGAATTTGTATTGTTAGAAACACAGAATTTATAAGTGAATAAACGAATTTAATTTGTAACTAGGGTTTTGGGGAGAATAAGTAGACTAATTATGCTGTTTAGTTTGATGTCCGTGCTGATATCGTTCTATGTGTGTGATCCAAGGGAAGAATTTATATGAATAGTTTCGGGATTATTTGGGCAAGTTATTTTTTTTGGAGGGAAGACAGGGAGAGTGTATATTATATATTCTATTATCTAAACTAATTTTAATCGATGCTTTATATAGACAAAAAGCCTTAAACTCAATTTATCGATGCTTTATATAGACAAAAAGCCTTACACTCAATTTATCGATGCTTTATATCGATATAGACAAAAAGTCTTAAACTCAATTTATCGATGTTTTATATAGACAAAAAGCCTTAAACTCAATTTATCGATGCTTTATACAGTGGCGCTCAAAAGTATTGTATCACCCGGACGATAAATTTCACGATTTAATAATGTTTCATGCGATCCGTTTCTTTTGATCGTTTTGATAAATAAAAATAAAATCGAAATCACTTAATAAACTAAAAAAATTTATGAAAATTTAACCCCTAATTTTAAATACCACCAAGTATAGCCACCCTTTGCATTAATTACATCTTGAACGCGTTCTTCCATACTTTCAATTAACTTCATTAAAAACGTATTATCAATCTTGATCCAAATTTTATTGTATCGCATCCCAGAGTTGATCTTGAGTATGATACCAATTGATGACTTTCTCAAACGATGATCTACAGTAGCTCACTTAAGAAATGGAACACGAAAAGTTTTACGAAAAGAAATTTTAGTGACTCTAACAATGATTCAGAATACCTAGTTCCTATATTCATTTTAAAGCTAATAACCTAGAGAATATTTTAAAATCCTACAAACTATATTAATGCTGCCATTCTAAAGAAATTAGACAATCTACATGAATATTTTTAATTTGTGAAATTTTAACTCTAAATAGTTTTGTTACCAGGGAGGATTGATGCGGATTGACCTAATAAAAGATGTGCTTCTTAGGGAGAACTATCCATGTACCAATTTTCAGCTAAATTGGTACCAAATTTGTGGAGTTATTTGCTCCCGAAGTACCAGATAAATGCTAACAGAAAAAATCCTCCCTGGTAACAAAACTATTTAGAGTTAAAATTTCACTAATTAAAAATATTCATGTAGATCGTCCAATTTCTTTAGAATGGCAGCATTAATATAGGTTTTAAAATTTTAAAATATTCTCTAGGTTATTAGCTTTAAAATGAATATAGGAACTAGGTATTCTGAATCATTGTTAGAGTCACTAAAATTTCTTTTCGTAAAACTTTTCGTGTTCCATTTCTTAAGTGAGCTACTGTAGATCATCGTTTGAGAAAGTCATCAATTGGTATCATACTCAAGATCAACTCTGGGATGCGATACAATAAAATTTGGATCAAGATTGATAATACGTTTTTAATGAAGTTAATTGAAAGTATGGAAGAACGCGTTCAAGATGTAATTAATGCAAAGGGTGGCTATACTTGGTGGTATTTAAAATTAGGGGTTAAATTTTCATAAATTTTTTTAGTTTATTAAGTGATTTCGATTTTATTTTTATTTATCAAAACGATCAAAAGAAACGGATCGCATGAAACATTATTAAATCGTGAAATTTATCGTCCGGGTGATACAATACTTTTGAGCGCCACTGTATAAAGCATCGATAAATTGAGTTTAAGGCTTTTTGTCTATATAAAACATCGATAAATTGAGTTTAAGACTTTTTGTCTATATCGATATAAAGCATCGATAAATTGAGTGTAAGGCTTTTTGTCTATATAAAGCATCGATAAATTGAGTTTAAGGCTTTTTGTCTATATAAAGCATCGATTAAAATTAGTTTAGATAATAGAATATATAATATACACTCTCCCTGTCTTCCCTCCAAAAAAAATAACTTGCCCAAATAATCCCGAAACTATTCATATAAATTCTTCCCTTGGATCACACACATAGAACGATATCAGCACGGACATCAAACTAAACAGCATAATTAGTCTACTTATTCTCCCCAAAACCCTAGTTACAAATTAAATTCGTTTATTCACTTATAAATTCTGTGTTTCTAACAATACAAATTCTAAACAAATAAAACAATATTAACGTTTAATAACGATCGCTAAAGCTCCACTAGAGAATAACATTTATACACCTTTTTCCTATTTACCAAGCTTGATGAAGGCATTCTCAGAAATTTCCATGAATGATTTAGAATAATTAACATTTGTGTTTATTCCCACGCACTTTACAATAAATAGTTGATAATAGAATATATCGTTATTCTCCATTAAAATGGGCAGTTCTCAATCCTCTTCCAGCTCTTCCCCTTCTAGATCTTCCCCTTCTAGCTCTTCCTCTTCTAGATCTTCCCCTTCTAGCTCTTCCCCTTCTAGATCTTCCCCTTCTAGCTCTTCCTCTTCTAGATCTTCCCCTTCTAGCTCTTCCCCTCCCTCTTTCTTAACATCTGAAAAAAATTCCTTCTGTTCAAACGGTTATCAGTGCGATGAAAAAGCTTGGTATGCCTTCATAAAAAACAAGCTCATTGAACTAGAAACGTTTGAAAACGAAAAATACATCTCTTTACTCACAGAGTTGGAGATCAAAAATCAAGAAGGGCTTCATGAACTTATCTACCAACTTGGAGATGCAGATCTATTCTTCGAAAAATTTCTTAAGCCTAAAATAGAAGAATCTGAAAAATTATTGAGAAGGATAAACGCGGATGTCCGTGCATTAAGTGACTTTCGTGATATGCCCGAAGACTCGAAGGAAATGTCGTTGAGAAACGCGCGAGAATACAGGAGAGAAAACAAAAAATATAATGTTTATCTATTAATCGAAAAAACGGATTTTAGCGAAATTCTCCAAAGCCTTGCTCCAGTTATGAAATATGGAATATTTCATGTAGGACTGGAAATAGATGGTGTCATCATAGAATGGGGCTGTGGTCCTGCAGGCCAAAGCATCGTGTATCCAAGAGTTGATGAAAGAAGAATGCTGGCCTATATACGATTAAACTACAAAAGAATGAATCGCGACAGCGTCATTATGAGTGCTTGTAATAAAAATATAAGTAACATTATCAATAATTTGGGAATCGGGTGTATAATTACCTTTGTATTAGAGCTTTTAGGTCTTATATATAGGTTTTTCTACCATTTAGGAAACATAAAGGAGGACAAATTAAAAATTATTGCTGAAAGATGTGTTTATTACAATAAGACTCATAATTATCACTTTCTCCGGAATAATTGTCAACATTTTTTGGATCAGATCTTAATAGCCATTGGCTTAGAATTCAAACCAGAAGGGGAGTTCAAAAAATTCATGGACAGGATCAAATACAAGGGCGATGGTGCGTTCCGATTCAAAGATGCTGTATTTAAATCAAGAATGGAACTTGACAGATACGCAGACGCTCACTGGAATAGTCTTGACAACGAATGGGATAAGAAGTTGCTTATATGTTTTTCGGACATGATGGAACGCATGTATGAACGTGGTATAGAAGTGTGGGGTCCTATGGATTTAGTGAATTTTGAAAAGTGGGAAAGAAGATATGAAGACTTAGAAGCGTTGGGTTGATTTTTCAATCACATATATCGAGTGTCTTTATATTTCGATTATAAGCATATGTTAATGATTTCTTTCTATTATGAGATTCTGAACTAGTTTATTGAATTAGTTAAATTTTCAAATTATTATCTTTCCTTCTTTCAAATCTTCTTTCCTGTTCTTTTTCTTTTCTATCAAATTTTATAATGCTTATAATAAACATCTTGTTCTATTAAATATTCTTTCTTAACAGATTGTCGGCTTCTCGACGATCGTAACAGAACATATTGAATGAAAATCGTCTAATATTAATATATTATATAATCAAAACGTTATAAATCCTCCTCGCTATAGTAAATTTTGAAAATTTTAACTAATAGCCCGCCATACATAAGAGGTTTGAGGGTAATTCGTGAATATAGCACTTGTAAAATGCAAAGCTCAACATCGCCCAATAACTAGTTTCATTATCAATGTGGCTCATGTCCGTCAATTTTTTTAAATAGAATTACTATAAACAAAATAAAATTGTGCCTATTATTCGAGATGAAACTTCTGAATTTGTATGCGTGCGCATCATATATCCACGTGCGATTTTTAACAAGTTTTTCTTTCAATTACATGTATTATGTAACGGTAATGATTCAAAATTCTATGTGGCAACCTTTATTACAATGTATGTAGTTTTTTATTGTTTGTACTAAAATGCATGCATTAAAATAAAATCTATTTAAATACATGGCATGGATTTTTAAAGGGTGTAATATTTTGATTGTTTGTAATCATTTGTGTTTGAGAGAACAGCCAAAATTATTGCTATGTCACGCATTTGATAACTATTTAATTTACTTTTTTCACAAAACAGAAATGATTTATTCATCTATTACGTTCACAAAAAATATGCATTATATGAATAAAATATAGAGAAATTGCAATTACTTTTCGTTAAAATCAGTATACTTTATCCGCGATTTTGTGTGTATCAAATTAAATGTAAATTCATCTTCATTGGCGTACTATGTTTGATAATACTAATTTCGAAGTAAACATTTGACCGATATTGTTTTTCGTAGGAATCCTTTTTTTTTAGTTTCTTTTCATCTGATATCAGATCAGAAACTATCAAAGTTGGTCTATTTTCTAGAATAGGAACCTAACTTTTTTTTCAGGTATTCTTT